CCTTATGTACGTACAGCTGATTCAGGACACACACCTTCTGGTCATCATTGGCGTCCTCCTGGCCGTGGACTCGGCTCTGGTCTTCGTCTGGGTGATCGTGGACCCCATGAGTCGTCACGTGTCTAACACTACAACTGAGGTGAGTCTGGCATGTCTTTAACTATTGCACGAGTGTCCAACTCAAGGTCTGTGAACTGCATCCGGCCTGGGACTTAATAGTTATATCGGCCTGCGATAGAATGTATAAGTAGTTCATCCTTAGAATCCTCATCAAGACCTTACCCCAACCATAAACGAACTTGTCACTAAGAAAAATGCCAAACATCTAGATCTGGCATATGAGCAAGAACTGGTATGCCTTGGTTTGTTTGTTTTGTTTTGTCTTTGATTATGTCTGTTTTATTCGATATTATTGTTGTTTTTAAACGGTTTAGTCTTCCACTTCACAATAACTGTTTATCCAATTCTGCTTTCAATTCTTAATAGAATTTGACTTTTGTCCCCTGAACAACTGAGTTTGACAGTCAATTATATACAATATAGAGTTCAAATTATTCGAGACGTGCTTCCACTGTTGAGAAGGAAAGTGGTTGTCTTAGCTTAGACAGGTCGATGTCTTCGACAGTCTCATTATAATTGAAAAATAAATCGCTGAGGGTGGAAATGGAAGTCGATTTTTGAGCAAGTGATTGTCTTGGACAGATAGCCGTTAGAGCAGGTCCGTCTGCAGTTTCTATGGTATAGTGGCGTTCAGCGAGAATATCATGATACCCCCACATAACTGTTTGTGTCTGATTTTATTTCGTTTTGTCTGGATTTCTAATAACTTCTGTAGGAGCATTAGAACGCGAGCATTGCTTCTTGGAACAATATTCCTCCATTTAAACCAGGGGTTTCAAACGCACTGTCCGCCGGCCAAAATAGGCTATAAATACAATATTATTATATATTTGCCACCCTTCCGTGACATCAAAATTCAGTGTTTGTGCCGCCCGCACGTTTTTCCCACACGCACCGTTTTGCCGAGGTGTTCCCTTAGACTTCTTTTTTCAACACTTACTGGGCTACAATAGCTCAAGCTCTTGACAGTTTCTCTGGCGTTTGTGGATACGTTTTGAACTTGATTTCAAAGTTGTCCTTTAAAATAAAATACTTAAAATCTGTTTTGCCCCTGGAATACTGAATGCAGCCCACTCGCATCCAAGCTCAATACCCAACGGTCCATAGATAATTTAAGTTTTAGGCAACTGTTCGATTTTTTTTTTCAATGTTCAACTCCATTTTATTATTTTGGATCTCGGTCCTACATTATACTCATGAAACGTGTCCAAAGTTATCGTCTCGGTTTCCTTAATCTGTTCACCGTCACATAACATTTCCTACCGGTGTCTGTGGCATAACAGTTTGGTGTTTTGCCATCACACACAGAAGACACGAGTTCGATTCCTCTGCTGAGATATGTTTTTTTATTATCTCCCTCCTTCGGCTAATAGGTTATAACCCTCTTTTTCTGAGTTTGCCCTGACTGACAGGTCGACTCATCCCCCCCCTTATATGATATAAATTGTGTCGATGGGGTTGTAAACACACATATTCTAAAGGTATTTTGTGCCCTTTATCTGTTTAACATCACTTCAAATTCCCTCTAAGGGTAATCTACATTAGCCATGGGCATCGTGAAAAACCCGTACTGATGGGCAATATCTACATCAACATTTTTCAACACTAGACCATCCAAAGCTTCATGGGGAGTTGGTGTTTCGAAATCGCATCCTGTTGTTTCCCGGAAAAAAAGTTATCATGGAAAAAAAATCTAAACATTCATATAGTCCGATCATTAGGTCTTAACATAACGGGAAAAAGTATCGCGAAAAAAAGTTAGATCATCAGGTCGTAATATTAACCCCCCAAAAAACCAGTATCGTGAAAATAAAAACAAGACATTTTAGTCTGATCACCCGGTCTTAACAAAACCAAGGGAGAGAAGTGATGTAACCATGGCCTGATCACTGATCATGTTCTTCGAGTAACAAATAGCCAACGAAATATCCTGGATATTGGATTCCCTAAGGCAGGCTATTTTGTTTACCAGTATGGAAAGATGTGGACTAGCTAAAGGACAACACGAAAGGAGAAAGAGAGGGAGAGAGGAAATAGAAAAGGGTATAATAATAATGGTACATTATTATAATATATTATACACAAGATATAGCATATAATGTAATAGATAGATAGAGCGAGATAGGTAGAAAGATAGATAGGGAGATAAATAGAGAGAGGAAGAAATATAGAGAAAGATAGATAGAGCGAGATAGATAGATAGAGCGAGATAGGTAGAGAGATAGATAGGA